GTGTATGTTGAACAATCTTTGTATCCCTGGATGAATGCTACTTGGTCATGATATGTAATCTTGGTGATTTACTACATTGTTTGCTAAAATCTTATTGAGGGTGTTTACATCTGTGTCAGTGAGATTGGCTTGTAGTTCTCTTTCTAGGTTGGATCTTTGTTCAGTTTTGGAATCAGGGTATTGTTTCCAGGAATGAATTTGGAAGTATTGCCTCCCGTTCAGGTTCATTAAAGGGTTTGAGAAGTAATAGTTCTCTAAATTTCTGGTCGAATTCAGCAGTGAATTCATCAGGCCGTGGGCTTTTCCTTGTCAGTAAACTTTCAATTACATCATCAATTTCTTCAATTTATATTGGTTTATTTAGAATTTGTATATCTTCTTGATTCAGTTTTGGTAATTAATAGATGTCTAGGAGGGGCTGGGGAGATGGCTCACTAGAATAAGTGCTTGCCTGGCAAGCTCAAGGATCTGAGTTCAATCCCTGGTTCCACCAAAAAAAAAAAAAAAAAAAAAAAAAAAAAAAAAAAGTATATAGGAATCTGTCCTTTTGTTCTGCATTTTTCCATCTTATTAGCATACAAGTTCCAAAGTAGGTATAGATTATCTGGAGGATCTATTGTGATTTCACCCATTTCATTCCTAATTGCATGGATTTCAGTCATTCCTTTTTTCTTCATGTTAAGGGTTTTCTTTCATTTTATTTAATCTTTCAGAAGAGCAACTCTTCAATTCATTGTTTATATTATTTTCTTCATTTTCATTGCATTAATTTCTGCTCTGATCTTAATAATTCTGTTTCCTCCTTTGTACTACCTTTGGGCTTGACTTGCTTTTCTTTTGTTAGAAGTTTATGAGGTTCAAAAAAAAAGAGAGAGAAGGGGGAAAACTACCCGCTCAGGCCCCCCCTCTGTCCCTCTCTCAGGACAGGAGCTTTCTTTCTCTCAATAAATATATTCTGCTCATTAAAAAAAAAAACCACACAAAGTTTATGAGATTCAACACTTAAGTTATTTATTTGCGCTTGCCCTGCTTTCTTTATATGGGTATGCACTGCTATAAATTTCCCTTGTAGGACTGCTTTCTTTGTGTCCCATCAGTTCTGATGTGGGACAGAACTGTATCGGAACTATATCTTGTATCAGCGTTATTGTTTAATTCATATAAAAATTTATATGTTTTCTTTATTCACAAGTTGGTGTGGATTCCAGCTATACTTTTTCTGAATTAGCTCACAAGATGATCTCATATCATTTGTATTTCCACTTAGTTGAGTTTTTAAAATGGGTGTAATAATTTGCAAGAAAAAGAAGGGTGTTATTAGCACCAGGCTTACAGGAAGAATAAGGTACTCAGTGATATTCTGAAGAAAGTGATTAATGCTCATTTGTAGGTTTATTGGGTATCCATACATGAACTACAACTTGAGTACTGCTAAGCATTAGAGATAAAATGTTAGGTATTACTGTAAAGAAAAAGCCAGCTGAAAATTCCAAATATTTAGCTGGAAAGTCTTGACTTAAATTTTCAGCCCCAGACTTCCAATTCCATCTATTTTTCTTTTTCTAGCTTCTAAAGAATAATGCTTGGCTGGATGTGATGTTTCATGGCTGTAATCCTAGCACACAGGAAGCTGAGGCAGGATGATCACTGTAAGTTTGAGGCTAGCCTGGGGCACATAGCAAGACTCAATCTCAAAAAAAAGTATGGGTATTCTTTTATGTTTGCTGTCCTGTATCCTTTTGTGTGTGTTCATGTGTGTCTTTTAACATGAATATGTGTAGAGTGTGGTTTTTATATCTATACTAGTAGGTTTTACACAATTCATTTATTTCCCTTTTCATATATGAAATGTTTTAATTTATCAGAGCCAAGATCATTAATTAAAATTAGGATGAAAAACATCTAAATACCTAAATATTAAACCTGTGATGAATGCTACATTTAAACATATCTTTGAATATGCCTGAGGAGTGAAGCAAGTGGAGCTTCAGTATTTTCTCCTGACCTGTTTCCCCTTGTTGGCCTGTCCGAGGAAGGGATGTACTCTCAGTAAGCTCGGTCAAAGTCCTAAAATTGGTGGTTGGGGCTTCTAGGCATTGATTGCAGTGTACCATCTGGCAGGGTTGAGTAAAAGTGAATGATGCTACCTCTGTGCTTGGCAGGAATGTCACACAGAGTAGCGAGGGCTGTGCCTCAGAGGCCCCAAAGTGGACTCTAGTTCCTACCTTCTTAAAGCTCCTAGTGTACAACTAATAAACTAAGGGCTTCTCAGGCTTACGAAGAGGAGAAAAATGAAGGGAACTTTCTTCTATATTTATAGACTTTGCGCAAAAATTACATTCTTTTCTCTTGAAAAGTTAAAGATGGTGTAAGCTAAAAAAGATACCAAATATGTACAACATTGGTAAATATTCAATACTTATTAATATGTGATAGAGACAGATTGCCTAGAGAGCAATTTTTTTTTTTCACTCTAGGATCGTTGGGTAATACTAGTAATCTCCAAGAAAAAGACAACATCTATATTGCAAAATATGTAAGAATCAAGAGTACTTTGCATTTTTATTAGGCATACCATTAATTTATCGATTTCACCATCAGTAGTGTCTGTTATACTATTTTGCTGGCATTTAATACTAAGTGCTCACAGTAAGAGGAGTTTATAGCAAATGTGTAAAAACCAGTTTTTACAGTCTTATGTGCCTTGGCAATTGGCAGGTATTCATGTTTCTCATCCATCTTCAGTGCTGTAAAATAGCATAACATTGTTTCATGTTTTTAAGAAGTACTAGCAGGACCAGTCTCATAATTATTGTGTCCTAAACTGGTGGGCAGGTGAAATGATCCATTGTGTTTTTCTCAAATTTACTTTCTTGAAGTACTTAGGGATTTTCTTTACTTTATCTCACTGTCAGGAGAGCGAGTCAGAGGATTGGTAAATTAATTAGCTATAGATTTCTAGGGGAAACTAAAAAGCAACTCCCAGTTCCTAGGCAGTGGTGGCTGGTTTGTTGTTGTTGTTGTTGTTGTTGTTGTTGTTGTTGTTATTTTTCTGTCAATAGTAATAAATGAATTCCAACTCTAGGTGTCAAAGCCAAAAAGTTAATTAAGCTCAGAGAGAAAATGGCTTCCATGAGTCAACCAGTCATTGCTTTTTAATTTTATGAAATGATTTTCCCTCAGATGACTTTTAAAAAATAATCATTGTATAAATCTGCTATATTTTAATAAAGGAAATATAACAGATTATTTGAGTTATCAAAAGTTTTCAAAGATGGTACTTCACTAGCTGAACTTTTTCTAATGGAGTATAAACTCTTTAATAAAACAGTTGAGAACCAAGAAGTTTAACTAGCGATGATTTTTGCTTTTGATTAAAACAATAAAAACCCAAATGAATTTATAGTTTTAAAGGAAATTTAGTATGTTGAAGGTTCCCTAAATATGATGGGCATACTAACATTTCAGGTGCACATTAGAGATAAAATTGCGTGGGTACTTTTTAAAGTCTTAAAAATACATATTTTTTTCCTTCACTACCTTTCTGTTAAGGACGTCCCTGTAAATGCTTTTAGAGTGCCATCTAGTGTCAGTTTTGGAGTCATGATTTATGGATTAAAATGTGGGAAATACTGGGTCCAGGAAATGTTTGACCCATAAAAACACCATAGTAATTGATGAAAACCTTAAAAGAATAATTGGACCTCACGATTGTGTGCGTACATCTCTAAAATAACCAGTGTGTGGACTCATTCATGCATTCATTTAACAAATGGTTCTTTGTCCTACATAGATAGAACAGGCCCTGTTCCAAGCATGACAGTGAACCAAAAAAAATCCACACTGAGGGGATGTTCTGATGGGGGAGACACATAATAAAATAAATAGCATGTTACAATATTTGTAAGTGCTGTGAAGAAAAATCCTAGAAGAGAATGGAAAGATTTTCCTTTTTAGGGAAGGCTTTGCAGTAAAGAAGCGTATCTAGGAACAGTCACACTAAGGCCTCGCCATTGTGCGAAGAAGTAACAAAGTGAAGAGTGTTTCAGGTTCTAGAAAGACCAGGTGGGGAGGCCGGAAGTGGTACTGTACTAGAGTTTCAGGCAGTTAAAAGTCTCTTTTTTTGTGACAGAAGATGAATAGTAAGCAATAGAGTTAATGAGAGGATCTCAAAGACACGAAAGGAGGATTAGGTCAGGGAGATCTTTGTAGGCCAAAGTTGAAGCTTTGTTTCTTTTAAGAATAGGATGGGAGGGATTGACTTTTAGCTGAAGAGTAGCATTTCTTCATTTTTAGTAGAACCACTCTGACTGCTGTATTAAAAGAGCTAAATGAGGAAGTGAAGTGGCAGGCAGAGTTAGGTAAGTGCTGCAGGACACTAGAATGGTGGCCGCTTGGGTCACAGGATACAAAAGAAGTGATATGAAATTGTCGGGGGTTCCAAATGTATACTAAGGACAGAATCAAAGGGGCTGTTAATGGGTTGACTCTGGGGATGTGAAAAATAAGTGATGAAGAGTGCAGTCTAGGAAAGCAGCAAGATGTGCTCCTTTTAAATCACCGAGTATAAACATACTTCTAAAACTACTCAGCTGTACAAGGTATAGGAGGTTTTTCTTTTGGCAGCCATTTCCGTCTTGATGACAAATTCTTGCAACATTATTATCAATCACAAATTCTTACTGATTTCTAGAATAGGCTGGTAAAACATTCATCTTTTAAATTTTTAAAAATGTTTTTGATATAGGGTCTCGCTACACAGTTTGTGCTTGTAGTGTTCTTCCTGTATCAGCCTCCTCAGTGCTGGGATTACAGGCATGTGCCACCACACTCTGTTCCAGGGCCAGCATGGCATGCGGTACTAGGGACTGAACCCGGTCTTTGTGCTTACTAGGCAGGTGCTTATGCTGCTGAACTGTCTCCCCAGCCCAACAGTCATCGTTTTCATCTTCTAAACTATTATATTCTAAGGCCTATAACCATGCTATCTTATGCTTCAGGCGACTCAATGAAAGAAGAAAATGAAAGGCATTAAGAAAAATCTAACAGAAGAATATCTTTACCTGGACTTTTCTCATCAAGCAGAAGGATGCATTCTTCCTCTTCATACGTCTGTAACTTTATTTTTGTTATCATACTGTGATTGTAGAATCTTTAAAGTTTGCTTGGTCCTCACCAAAGAAGGTACGGATAGTTTACCACTAAGAGATGTGCTGTCCCAGGACATTGAAATCCAGCTTGTTCCAAGGCAAGAGCTCCCACCAATAGTCCAGAACTGCTGTTTACCTGCAGTGGTGGAAAAAACAGACAATTTTTGTAGAGCAGGACTTGCTGTTGTACTGAGACACATAATCCAAAAATCGTATGAAACAGACCCCTCCAAGAAGGAAATTTTGGAGCTTCTGGGCTTTAAAAAGACTTGTTTGAAAGCCTGTGCTGAAGTAAGTATAAAGTGTCTTTCTTGGCTGTTATTTAAAGCTACAAAGTAATAGCAATTACCTTGAACAATCATTTTAATTTTGGACTTGCGAGATAGCTCAGTGGGCTAAGCGCCTGCTTAGGCAACACAGGGACTGGGGTTCGATTCCCAGCACCACACCCTGCACTGGCCCCACCCTTGGGCGTGCTGAGCCAGCCACCATATGGTGGTGCACACCTATAATCCCAGTGCTGGGGAGGCAGAAAACAGGAGGATCGCTATGTGTAGTGAGACCCTGTACCAAATATATATATATATATATATATATATATATATGGAATAAAATGTCATTGGGAATAAAATGTCATTTATTTTTAAAAGTACATAGTGACCAATGAAATAATTGAGGTCATTCTTCATATGTGTCAATATTTCAGTGTAACACTGAGAAATAAGAATGTCAGATTTCATTTATGAAGCTTGGAGACATTATTCTTATACGATGACTTCCTTTTTATCCTTTGTTTTATTTACATATGGAATTTTTAGAGTTTTACATATAAATGCCTCCAACAGCAATACTTCAGAAGCCCTGCTTTATTTATTTATTTATTTATTTATTTGTGCAGGGGTAGAAATGATTCTAAAGGATTAAGGAAGTAATGATGAATTCAGCAAGGGGATACAGAAGGGGAAATCTCCATTGCCTCCTGTTTTGTAAAGCACTGTAACATATTTCTTGATATAAAATACAGCAGTCTAGCCCACAGATGGTTTAGCTCAGGCCTCAAATTCTCCAAACCAGTCTTAGTTCCCAGTAAGACCATTCTTTTTCTTCAGGCCACTTTGAGGTCCAAAGTCCTTGCTTGTTTTGCCTTGCAGGTCAGCCAGTGGACCAGGCTGTGTGAGCATACCATCCCTTTGGCTATTGAGAATTTCCTGAGAGAGTCTTTGGAGCAGCCCACAGCCATCCCCGCAGAAGTCCTGCAGCTGGAGAAGAAGCTGAGCGAGCCCGTGAGAGTGCACAATGACGACAAACTCCGCAGGCAGAAGCTGAAGCAGCAGAAGGCGGCCAGCGCTGGACCTGCCCCAGCTAAGGGCCGAGTCCCTCCTCTGGAAGCCTCAGAAGAGGTGGACTGTGCATCCCAGAATCTGGAACTGCAAGTGGCTTTCTCAAAGCTCACAGTGCAGGAAGGGCCAGCTGCCACCAGCAGGGAGCCTTCCCACATCCGGAAAGCCAAAGCCTCCGACCTCCCGCCGCTGGAGCATGTGTTTGCAGAAGGGCTTTTCTTCACCTTGGCGGACATCGTGCTCCTGCCCTGTATCCACCACTTTCTGGTAAGGTGTTAGTTGGGGGGTGTACACTATGTGTGTTTGTGTTTGGATCAGTGAAATTGCTTAGGTTCAAAGTCCAGTTCTACTACTTACTTTTATGCTTCTGGGAATTTTTTTTTTTTTTTTTTTTTTTTTTCTGCAAAGCAGAGATTATGCTTCCTCTCTGCTCTTGTTTGGATCTTGACTATTCCCTAAAGACTTCTGTACTGAAGGCTTAGGTCTTAGCCTGGTTGCAGTGGGAAGGTGAAGGAACTTCCAGAGGCTGAGCCCAGCGGAAAGAAGTCAGGTCATGGGGTCCTGCCTTTGAGGGGGCCTCCACCACACGCTTCTGCCATGGTGCTACATGTGGCTATAGGCCTGAGCAGGGCCAGGTGACCATGGGCTGAAGTCTTGAAACTGTGAGCCAAAATAAACCATTTCCTGTATTGCACTGATTGTCTTGAGTATTTTGTTATAGTGATGGAAAGCTGACTCTAATATGATCCGTGTAAGGAACATAGTATGACTTGAATGACTAAAATGTTAGCAATTTTTGTGGTTGTTTTAATTGCTTTTGAGATTACCTTTTAGTATGAGGGCCCAGAATTCAAGAAACAAAATCCTAAAAACTTAAAATAAAAAAGAAACA